GAGGATCACTGGAGCTCAGGAATTCATGACCAGCCTGAGGAAGAGTGAGACCCTGTCTCTACTAAAAATAGAAAAATGGACCAGGCATAATGATATGTGCTTATGGTCCCAGCTACTCAGCAGGCCAAGGCAGGAGGATCACTTAAACCCAGGAGTTTGAGGATGCAGTAAGCTGTGATGATGCCAGGCACAGAGTGCAAGGTCTGTCTCAACAACAACAAAAAGGACATTTGCAGACATAAAAGGGCTTAAATGTTTGTATGGCATACAATACAATATTATGGTATACCTTTTTTAATGAAGGCCTTGGAGGGTATACTTCAGGAAATGGAGAAAAATCAAAAAAAAGAAAAAGGTCCAGGATCTGGAAAAAGTCTCGGAATGACAACTATTCTGCAGCACGAGGGAATAATGAATGCACATCGAGGGGCGGTGCTTCTGGCTCAAAGGAGTAGGCACGGCCCCATATACCAGAGGTGGCGGGTTCAAACCCAGCCCCAGCCAAAAACTGCAAGAAAAAAAATGAATGCACATTGAGCAGCCCATGACAGTGATCAATTAATACATATTAATTTTAGAAATTACAAATAAGCATTATAAAAAGAAAATCTTTAATCTCACTACTTAAAATGAACCAAAGGTATATATGCGTGTATGTGTGTGTACATATATGGATATATCTCCTCCCAGGATTTTTTTCAGTTAATAAATACAAAATAGTTTATAAAACTATTGAACATACTGTTGATGCTGTCCAAAACTATTGAACAAACCTTGAACATACTATTTTAGAACATACTATTTTAACATACTATGTGTTTTTTTCTTTTTCATTTGATAGTAAATTGTCAATGTCTATATCATAATTCATTAACCAATCTCTAAATTCCTGGAATTCAGGTTACTTATAATTTTTTTCTAGTATAAATAGTACAGAGACAATCATAAGGCTTTCCAGAAAAAAATCCTATGGAAAAACTTTCTAAAATGCATTTACTGTTTTCTTCAATTGTAGAACATAATCCATCTTCTTTTTTCATTTGAGCTGTCATTATAAATCTTGGTTATTATACTGTTATTGTATAGCTATATCCCCAAATTAACAATTGCAGAGCTTTGTCCATTTGCTAATAATCACCTTGACTCTAATTTCTGTTCCTACCTCATATGGAATGTATTTTATCTTTTGCTTACCCCTCTAATTTCGTGGTGATAACAGAATTCCTGCATAGAGCATATTCTAATGTGTTGAGACTGAAAAAGTAGTTAACCAAAGGTGCTGTATGATTCTGGGTAGTATCAGTCTATGTGCAAACTTTTTAACATCAGATTGTCTTTGATTCAGAAACCTTTTTCCTGCATAGAGCATATTCTAATGTGTTGAGACTGAAAAAGTAGTTAACCAAAGGTGCTGTATGATTCTGGGTAGTATCAGTCTATGTGCAAACTTTTTAACATCAGATTGTCTTTGATTCAGAAACCTTTTCTCACTTTCTCATTTACTTTGTGTCACTGAAATAATATTTTATACAGGAAATCTCACTCTACAATATATTACTTCTGAAAAATTACTCATTTTATCCTCTATTGTGACAATGACTTCTTACCTTTTCTTCTTAAATCAGGATTACCTGAGCTGGAATTGGAAACAATTGATAACCAGTTTGGACAACCAGGAACAGGTGATCAGATTCCATGGACAAATAATACAGTGACAGCTGTAAACCAGAATAAACCAGAAGAGTAAGTAATGCATTCTGTATTTTATAAGGTATCAGATACCACCTTCTAAATAAAGAACTACTTTTCCCAAGCTGAATAACAATCTGCACTGGTATTTTGTGAGATAGATGTAAATGTTTAATGAAAAAAGCTATAGGGAAAGACATTGAATTAAACAGATTTACTTACTGCATGACCACAGGGCTAGTGTACATTGTAATCACCCAGAGATTCATATAGTATTCAACTGTTGTTTTATACTTCATCTTTTATTTTGCCTTGATTAACTACCATGATTTTCTAGGACTGGTTAAGGAATTGACCTCAGTATAAAAATTATGTTCTCTTGCCTTTTAATTATATAATTATTTAGTTCAGCATTTCTGTTTCTTTAGAGCAAGAATGTATAAGGAAGGGAAGTACTTTTTACATCTACATAGTGTTCCATCTTGATTAGAATTTAATTTCTTAATCTACACAGGCAGCTATATTCCATAGCACAAAGTACATCTCATACATGGTAACCAAAGGACAACAAGATAGTATTGAGTGTGCTTTAGAGCTTTAACTATGAACTGTATTCCCATTTACCTTCCCAGAGGAAGAATCCTTATAATTTTATTTTATTTTATTTTATTTTGAGACAGAATCTCACTTCATGCTCAGGGTAGAGTGCCGTGGCATCATCCTTGCTCACAGCTACCTCCAAATCTTAGGCTTGAGTAATCCTCTTGCCTCAGCCTCCTGATTCTCTGAGACTACAGGTGCCCTCCACAACACATGCTAGTTTTTCTGTTTTCAGTAGTGACTGGGTCTTGCTTTTGCTCAAACTGGTCTCGAACTCCTTAGCTCAAGCAGTCCACCTGCCTCAGACTCCCAAAGTGCTAGGATCATAGGCATGAGCCACTGGCCCAGCCTAATTTTATTATTACATTAGTATTATTAGTATTACTTTCTGTATATTTCTATTTTATAGATCATTAGTATCAGTTTGCATTAGACTGCATATTTTCTACATGTAACTAATGAATAACGTGTTTTGTTGCTTAATGCCTAGCATATTTCATTTGTCCAGTTTGATTTCTTTTGTAAATGATAACCATGTCATGTTATCAAGATGACTTGAACATCTTTGAAAATTAAGTGATACAATTATATACTGTTAATTATGGTTCAAATAATGGCAGCAATAAAATAGAATAAATTTGAATATAAGCTAAATGGCTTTTTCCTTCATTATTGGCTTATTTTTATTTTTTTACTTTCATTAAAATTTTTCTCCCTTTTCTAAAGTATGGTTAATTTTTCAGGCTATTCCTTTTATTTTTTTTAATTTAATTTTTTGGGGGGGGGGTAGAGACAGAATCTCACTTTATTGCCCTTGCTAGAGTGCTGTGGCATCACACAGCTCACAGCAACCTCCAGCTCCTGGGCTTAGGTGATTCTCTTGCCTCAGCCTCCCAAGTAGTTGGGACTACAGGTGCCCACCACAATGCCCGGCTATTTTTTTGTTGCAGTTTGGCAGGGCCGGGGTTTGAACCCGCCACCCTCGGTATATGGGGCTGATGCCCTACCCACTGAGCCCTCAGCGCCACCCTTCAGGCTGTTTCTTTAAGCTAATATGAACAATATGGAAACAAAGTTCATTGATTATTGAAAAAATGAAAAATATATTCAAGCTATGTACCAAACATTCATTTAAGTTCTGCATAAGCATAGAACATTTCATTGCCGAGCATCTCAAGAGAATTTTCTAGAATGCATGTATATATTTGCATTCTTAAGATTGAATAATTACTTGCTGTGTCAGTTTGAAACTTTTTTATCTTTTGATCCTGCAGCCAGTGTATTAGTTCACAATTAGATGAGCTTCTCTGTCCGCCAACAACAGTAGAAGGAAGAAATGATGAGAAGGCTCTTCTTGAACAGCTGGTCTCCTTCCTCAGTGGCAAAGATGAAACTGAGCTAGCTGAACTAGACAGAGCCCTGGGAATTGACAAACTTGTTCAGGTATTTATAAAAGTCATCATGATGCATTCCAGAGAAGGTAAAAGATGATTTTTAAGCAAGATTTTTTTAATATTGTTCCCACTATGCTTTAGCTAACTTTTATAATTTAACCCTTAGGAAATTATCAAATATATACATCTTTTAGACTGTGGTGTGATAAAAAATCAATTTTTGCCTCACGACCAGCATTTTTCAAATGAAGCAAAATAATGTAGAATACAAAATATTAGAGTGCACAGCCCATGAAAGGGAAGTTGTACTTCATGAAACTTGCCTCAGTTAAATGAGCAAACACACACACACAATAGGTTGCAGTTTAAATTATGCGTAGTATTTCTTATAGTAGGATAAGAATGGGTTGTTGCTTGCTTTCAATGTGAAAACATTTGAAAGCCATAACTCTATGGCCTTGTTATGTCAGCTATGAATTTTTTCAAATAAAAGCATGAACATTTCTGTAGTTGAGATTAAAAAAAAAAATAGAATCTGCTTCTTATGGGAACCTATCAAGTATAAAGTTTATTGATTCTTAAGCTTTGTAGGGAAGTTATTTTCAAACTTTTTGGCTTGATTTTATTAATTTAGAAACTTTAACCATATTTTTATCTTTTTACTAATATTTTAAATATCTCAGTTAATGCCCATTTTCAAAGCAATTTTTGTAAATGATTCATGTACTTAGCAAACTTCTGAAGAGCATGAATTGGGAATGAGTATATATGATGCCACTTTCTAATGAGAACCTCCTCTCAAATCTTTTACATGAAAAGGCATGTCATTTATTGGCAGAAATTTACTTGTAAAACTTATTTGTTTGGCTTCTTTTTTAACAGGGAGGTGGACTAGATGTATTATCAGAGAGATTTCCACCACAACAAGCAACACCACCTTTGATGATGGAAGAAAGACCCAACCTTTATTCCCAGCCTTACTCTTCTCCTTCTCCTACTGCCAATCTCCCTAGCCCTTTCCAAGGCATGGTCAGGCAAAAACCTTCACTGGGGACTATGCCTGTTCAAGTAACACCTCCCCGAGGTGCTTTTTCACCTGGCATGGGCATGCAGCCCAGGCAAACCCTAAACAGACCTCCAGCTGCACCTAACCAGCTTCGACTTCAACTACAACAGCGATTACAGGGACAGCAGCAGGTGAGTGCTCTTATTCGGGAGTTGATACTTTTCAAAGGTTTGTGCCAAATCTCTATAATAACTTAACCCAATTGCTATAATAAAGTCCACTCCCAAACCTTCTAAAAACCATCTCTTGTCTGGTAGGACAGCGGTTCTCAACGTTTTTGGCACCAGGGACAAGTTTCATGGAAGACAGTTTTTCTGTGGAGCTTCCCTAGCTTGCCCGTCACTCACCTCCTGTTGTGGAAACTGGTTTCTAACAGGCTACAGGGGTTGGGGACCAAAGGATAGGGATAAGGAACCTTCATTCAATCAAAAGAGACTGCTTGCTCATAACAAAGCACTTTGAGACCTACAACTTAGAAGCAATTTAATTTTTACAAACTCTTTGTAATGAACATTATACAATTATTAAATTGTTAATAGTAAAGAGAAAGCTTAATTTACAAAGAACATCAAGAGATACTGTGATTGTTGGAACAGAAAACAAAGTTTAGCCAGGCGTGGTAGCTCACGCCTATAACCACAGCACTCTGTGGGCTGAGGCGGGTGATTGTCTGAGCTCAAGAGTTCAAGACTAGCCTATGCCAAGAGCAGGACCTTGTCTCTTAAAAATAGCTGGTGTTGTGGCAGGCGCCTGTAGTCTCAGCTACTCAGGAGGCTGAGGCAAGAGTTTGGGGTTTGCTGTAAGCTTTGATGCCATGGCATTCTAATAAGGGTGACAAAGTGAAACTCTATCTCAAAAAAAAAAAAAAAGGGGGAAAACAAAGCTTATTTTGTGTGAAGTTGGAGACATTGACACCTAGTGTTGTTATATTAGGAGAATGAAGAAAGGATATTTGGGGACCTGGGAATTGTGAGTGAGTTAAATCTTCTCTCTCATGACTGGAAACTAATACTACAGTGGCATAAATACCTGCGATTCTATAAGCTGCAGAATGGAGAGAGTCATCAGGAAGCCCAAAAGCAAATGGTGAAAAGTGTCTGCTGTGGGAAGTAGGACCACGGCTGTGGATTGTTGCTTGCTTCAGTCCTTCTATATATTATATATATATTTTGCTTTGGATTTTTAAAAACTGTCTAGAGAAATTCCCTGAAGGTTTATTAATTCAAAAAGAAAGAGAAATGAGATAAATCATGCTAGAAAGGCAGTATGACATAATAGTTCAGAGTTTGTTCTAGTTTCAAGCTCTAGTTCTAAACATAGATGAGTCACTTTAATCAAATGATTCACCCTGTTAAAGTTTCTACATTCTCATCTATGTATATAAAAAGAGTCTAATAAATAAATCCTTTACCTCACAGATGGTTGTATGGATCAAATGAGATGAAGCATATAAAGCCCATAGCATACTGCCTCTCATATTGTGGGCACTTAATATATACAAGCTATTATTACAAAATTACGTTCAATAAATATAACAGATGATTTAAAATGTGCTTCTATTCAACTTAAAAAGAAGATGGAGAAAGAGGAAGAGAAAGGGAGAGGTGAGAGAGGAAAAAATTTTAAATGGTAAAAAAACAAAGAAAGGAAATATTTTTAAAATAAAGGTTCAGTGAACAAGGCCAGACAAGGATCTAGGTCAGTTTTGTGCATAGATGGAAGGATGTTTCGTATTCACTTCAGAGAACAGTCATTTTTGCTTCCGTTTGCTCTTACTAAAGCAGCTTATGGGCAGAGAAGCCCTGCAAAGGCTACACCATGCAGATAAGGATGCAAATAGATGAACGTTGCTGCTCTCTGCTTGCTTCAAATCTCAAGAAAGCATTTCCAAAGTGTGATGGTGTTGGTACCCTAAAAGAGTAAAGTATCCACCAAATTGAATAAAACAGAATTTGAGGCTCACTGTGTTTTTAAGCCCCCACATATATCAATACACAAAAGCAGCTTCTGTACCTAACAAGTCACTTGTCTAGGCCTGTTCTTTGTGCTCAAGGGCATAAATTCTTGCCATTTCAGCAGTGGGTCACTCAGCTTCGTTTGCGCTGTATGTGTGTCCTGTTAGGGGCTGTCCGTGAGCAGGTCTGGCCAAGGCTTATCTCAGTCAGTGTCTCAGTTAAGATGCTTTTAACAACAGGGAAAGAAAAAAGATCAATTTAAAGGAGTAAAACAATAAAGAAAATAATTTGCCTCAAATGTTAAAGCAGGTCCAGGTGTGGTAACTTTGGAGGTTCAGAATGTTATCAGGGACCCAAGTTCATTCTATTTGTTTCGTATGTAGTCCTTGGCATACTGTGGTTATAAATACCACATGCAAACAAAATTGTACCTAGCAGGAGAAAAGGTACTGTTTTTTTCATATGCATCTCTTGTCAAACTCTAGGAAACTTTCCAAAAGGTCTTCATCATACTCTACCCCAACCCCCAAATAAAAAGAAAAATGGAGAAAAAAAAAAAAGAAAAAGGAAAAACCATAGACTTCTCATGGCTGGCTAGCCAGAACTGAGTCACAGGTACATCCTTAACCAGTAGCTGGCTGGGCTTGACTTAGAGTACTCAGAATTATCCCTGGAGTCATGTGATTTGGAATTGTCAGCTGAATAAAATTCTATTCTGTCTTTTTTTTTGAGACAGAGTTTCACTTTGTCGCCCTTGGTAGAGTACCATGGCATCATAGCTCACGGCAACCTTAGACTCTTGGGCTCAAGCAACTCTCTTACCTCAGCCTCCCGAGTAGCTGGGACTACAGGCACCTGCCACAACACCCGGCTATTTTTTTAGAGAGAGGGTCTTGTTCTTATTGAGGCTGGTCTCGAACCTGTGAGCTCAGGCAATCCAGTGTATTATTCAAGTGTGTTATTATTGAATTATTATTCAATAATCCAAGTGTGTTATTTAATGTCATATAGGTAAGCTCATTAAATAGGTGTTTTAATGATATAAATGTGAAAATGAGAGTATCTATAGGGTCTCTTAAAAAAGACAAAAGAAAAGGTTAAAGTTTGCATTAAAATTAAAAAATTGAAAAGACACTCTAAACAAGTTAAAAGGCATGACAGAGACTCAAAGAACATGTTTGTAATCCCATATAACAGGCAAAGGACTGGAATCCAGAATTTACCAAGCTTATAATCTGGCATTCTAACACACTACCTCTTTGGTGGTTTAATATCATGTGTTTACTTGTCAGTCATGATCTCTCCTCCCTATTTGAAACACAGGAGACTATAAGCATCTCACAGGCGAGAATTTAGCTCAGTGCCTAATGACTTGAGAAAGAAGGAAAAATACTCAGATCAGTTTGTTTCTTTTTAATGGCTTTTAAGAAGATGAATTTAAAAACAGAGAAAAAATAAAAACTAGAAGACCTTGAGGGCCAAGGTGGAGGATCACTTGAGGAATTGAAGGTAACATGGTGAGACCCCATCTCTACAAAAAAAAATCTTTTGAAAATTAACTAGATACGGTGATGTGTACCTATAGCCCTACCTATTCAGGTGACTAAGGGGGGAGAATTGCTTGAGCCCAAGAGTTTGAGGTTACAGTGAACCATGACTGCACCATAGTACTCCAACCTTGGCGACATATATAGGAAGGAAGACCATATATCTAAAAGTAAAAAACAAAAAATACATAAATAAAAATGGTATCTTGACCCTAAGTATATATTACTGGTTAGAATATGATACACAAGGAATAAAAAGATTCTAATGTTTTAAATTCATTTACACAGTTAAAAATAAATTCTCAGCTGCTAAGATTTTTGAGGGATAAAGGGGTGCGCATTATATATGAATAGTGCTAATTCCATGATTATATAAATGTTTTTCATTCTTTTATTTATGCTTATGTGTTAAAAGTGTAACTCTATGTTAAAAAATAAATGCTAAAATTTCTCTGCAATACAAAAGACAAGTGCCCAAATATAACAAATGAAAATTTGGATTAAAAAATTGAAAAGAAGATTTCTTTTTTCCTGAAAGTTTGGGGTTGGGGGAATTGGTGTGCATTATACATGGCAGAATCGTGGTGTAGCTACATTGACTGAGACTTACAGAACAGTGAAATGAAGGAAGGAGCTAGTGATTAAGAACAGCACAGTTAATAAGCGTGTAAGTGTAGTATCTGCTTAAACCTTAGATGAGCAAAGACCCAAGAAGTAAATCCACCATACTAATAAAGGACTTTTAAGTTCTATTTGGGGGGAAAAGACAATAGCAAAGGTAAGTAGTCTGGCTACTTACAGAAAATAGTGTGAGACAAAAGATACAATTATTCTACTCCAATTTTGTTTTTGTTTTCTGTAGCAAGGACCATGGTCTTCATACTTTCAAGGAATAATAATATTAAAAGAGTAACAGTCAAGACAGAGAAGTATGATATACTTAGCTATCTTCAAATAAGTTGGAATATGATATGTGTTAGGGTACTGAAGAAAGATATGGGTCCAGTGTGAGTACCACCATTGATAATCGTTTATGTGTCACGGAGAATAGATGTGACCAGAAAATAGAACTAGGTTCAAATGACAGATAATACAGGGAAACAGTTCTACCTCCAGATTTCTGGCCATGAAAACCTCCTGATTGGCTTGTTGCCTATAGCTCAAGCGGCTAAGGCACCAGCCACATACACCTGAACTGGCAGGTTCGAGAATCCAGCCCAGGCCCACCAAACAACAATGACAGCTGCAACCAAAAAATAGCCAGGCGTTGTGGCGGGCGCCTGTAGTCCCAGCTACTTGGGAGGAGGAGGTAGGAAAATCACTTGAGCCCAGGAGTTGGAGGTTGCTGTGAGCTGTGATGCCACAGCACTCTACCAAGGGCAACAGCTTGAGGCTTTGTCTCAAAATTTAAAAAAATTAAAAAAAAAAAAAAAACGGCCCAAATAGAGAATAAGCTTCTTTAAAGGACATTTTCATCTTGACAGAGTTTGTACAGTAGCTAGTTGAGGGTTTCTCAGCCTTGGTAATTTAACATTTGGAACTGGACAATTCTTGTTATGGGGGAGACGTCCTGGTCATTGAGGATGTTTAGCAACATTACTGGCCTTCTGCCCACTAGATGCTAGTAGCACCCCTTCTCTTAGTTGTACCAACCAAAAATGTCTTCAGACATTGCCAGATTTCCCTTGTGGGGCAGAATCAATCCTAGTTGAGAACCTCTGGGCTAGATTAATTATCTTTATGTTTACTATAAGAACTTTTGGGTAAGGCATTGGGGAAAATCCACTCTGTCAAGGTGACAGCCAGCTACATCTGTGTGTCCGTTTTATGTTATAGGCTGGATTTGTACTCTTCTACTGGTCAGAAGCCTTAAATTTCATTTTGTACTGCAGGAGGCCTTGTGACCTGGCCTTTATAGGCTTTTGAATTTGTGTCCCCAGCTCTAAGGATTTACAACTTTTCTCTTCACATTCCTCAGCTCTCCAATAGTTAAGGTTTCTGAGGAGGGTAGGAGTGTACTGATCCTTTCTGGGAAAGTATCATTGGAAGAGGTGGAACTTGTCCTGCTTGTTGAAAATAGGTAGAATTCTGATAATTGAAGAAAAGAGGCAAATCAGAATGGGACAGATGGAAGCAGGGTTAGTCAAGTGGCACACTAGATAGTCAAGGGAGGACAAACGAACGAGTGAATTCAAAGGCAGGAATAGACTGAGTGTCCGATAATAGAAAATACTTAGAGACTTCTGGTATTTAGAATGATTACTTCTACTTCTAAAAACTAACCTCTTACTAGTTCTCAAGCATCTTTCCTCCATTCTCACCCATTTCAGTATCATGTTACCTCACAATTCAGAGTATATAAAGGTGTAAGTGTGGGATCCCAGCCTGCAGTTTTACTGCTCTCCGTCATTGAATGTCAGTGTTTTCACCTGTCCTCGTTGCCGCCTTTCCTGTTTTCATACTTTCCTCTTGCCTCAGGTTACTCTGCCATCCTCCTCGCCACCTCACATGCTCGTCCTTCAAGACTCCATTGAGCTCCCCTGTGCCCTTGTCCCCTGACTTCCTGTCCCTAGGCTTCCTTAGTTGCTCCTTCTGTGCACCTGTCGATGTCTCTGTGGATGTAGGTAGAGCACCTGTGCACAGCACTGTTGTGTGTTGGCCTCTGTCCCAGTGGGGAACTCCCAGAAGACAGGAATTTACTTACCTTTCTAGCTTCCAAACTTTGTACAGTATCTTGAATATAGTGAGTTTTTCAAGAAATCTTTATCAAATTAATTTGGTTTATTTAAATTTATGTCCATGGTCTTTAAGTTTAAGAAGTTTTATCCACAAAAAAGGAATGGAAGATAAAAAATAAAATAAAATAAAAAGAAGTATATAGGTTTTAATACTTACAAGTACCTTTGACTTGTAAAACTACAACATTGGTGTCATTATTTTTGAAATGATTCAGAATGTTTTATCTTATTCTACATTACCTTAAAGTTATAATTTTAATGTTTACATTATATTGACCTTTTCCCCAAAATTGGTTTGTTTTCTGATCTAATGGCAACCACAAATCACATGAGGCTGTGCTCCTGTGGCTCAAGCGGCTAAGGCACCAGCCACATATACCAGAGCTGGCAGGTTCGAATTCAGCCTGGGCCCGCCAAACAACAATGATGGCTGCAACCAAAAAATAGCCGGGCGTTGTGGCAGGTACCTATAGTCCCAGCTACTTGGGAGGTTGAGGCAGGAGAATTGCTTGAGCCCAGGAGTTGGAGGTTGCTGTGAACTATGATGTCCTGGCACTCTACCCAGGGCAACAGCTTGAGGCTCTGTCTCAAAAAAAAAAAAAAAACCACATGAAGCCAGAATTAAGAGTTGAACTATTTGTCAATGAAAGATTTAATCACTGTTCATAACACTTTCATAAAACTTTCATAGGCTTTCTAGTTTATGTATAGTGTATTAAAGTATTATAGTACTGGTAGCTCAAAAGGAGTAGGGCGCCAGCTCCATATATGGGAGGTGGCAGATTCACACCCAGCCCAGTCAAAAACTACAAAAAAAAAAAAAAAAGTACATAAACAAATCAATATGTTTATGTATATTTAACAATTTATTTTATAAAATACCATATAAATATGAAATAATGTCAATTTATTTTTGAGACAGAGTCTCACTATGTTGCTCTTGGTAGAGTACCATCGCGTCATAGCTCACAGCAACCTCCACCTCCTGGGCTCAAGTGATCCTTTTGTCTCAGCCTCCTGAATAGCTGGGACTACAGGCACCTGTCACAATACTTGGCTGGTTGTTTTTAGATATGGGGTCTAACTCTTGCTCAGGCTGGTCTTGAACTCCTGACCTCTAGCTACCTACCCATCTCAGCCTCCCAGAGTGCTAGGATTACAGGCATGAGCCACCACGCCTGGCCAGTATAAATATTACTGTTATTCTCTCTCTAAACAGTTTATTTATATCTAATTATTAAGGAAGAATTTTTTGAGCTATAGATTGTTTACAATAAAATCTCACTTCCAAGGATACTTGTCATATCAAATAACCTTAGGGCATAACTACAACCTTGAACTCAAAGCCTGGTCTAGAGGCTGATCTTCTAAACCAGTGTTCCACATAAGATTGTCCTGGGAGATGGATGGTAATGGTTATGTGTTGGAAAAAAAAAAGGTTTATGATACACGTAAATACAATAAATTGCATTAGTAGATCCCCATCTTGGAGGTCCACAGTGTGCTTTGACCAATTAAAGGCTCATAAAATTATTGCAGTAAATAAATCTGTTTCACCTTGTATAACCCATCATTTCCAATACTTCATACAGCACAGCCTGCTATTTTCCTGGCACATCTATTAATATCCTACAGAACAATGTTCTTTAGAACACCAATTTGGGAAATGCTGGTCCAAAGTAATTACTTCTAGTTTAATAAATAATCCATTTTCTCAGACCATTTGTCTCTTACATAATTCTCTCTAGCTAATGAAATCATGCTGGACTCTTCCCAAATAGGTACCTACCAGACAAAGTATCGCCAAATGAGAGTACCCTCCAAGTACCTCAACTTCCAGATCGTTACAGAATGTACCCTTATTGTATACTTTTTAACTCACAGTATTTTAAGACTCAGAACTGATTTTTTTCATTCATTATTGCACTTATCTGGAATAACTATTAGTATGTTTTTAAAAGTACAATAAATAGATGTGTTATAAGGTACACACACACATATATATATACATCTTACAAATGTGGATATTCTTCTTATAAATGTTCTGCCATATTTAGTGTTCTGAAGGCAATAAATATTTGGTAAATGTTGGGAATTAGCCTTTTGGCAAATAAATGTAGGAAATAATCATACTAAACCTGCCACACTAAAAATAAAATAAACCTGCCACACTAAAACTTCTTAGTAATCAACAGAAAGTTTGTGTTACTGTATACAGCCAGGGCTTTGTTGGTGTGTAGAAATTTGTTATCTCATTGTTGCCATTTTTCTCTAGTTGATACACCAGAATCGGCAAGCTATCTTAAATCAGTTTGCAGCAACTGCTCCTGTTGGCATAAACATGAGATCAGGCATGCAGCAGCAAATTACACCCCAGGTAATGTGAGAAAAACAGATATTGTTAGTACTTCTCTAACCCAAGCAGTATTTCTTGAAGTGTTGACTTCAGGTCTTTGAAATGGTCTGTGAATTGATCTTTTAATCATGTTTATAGTGTAGTTTTCTTCTAGAATGAATTAATAATGTACTTGTGATACCTCTTGCTGATATTTGATCTAAAGCCAAGGGTTCTCTGTTTTGTTTTATTGTTGTGGTTGTCATTGTTATTGGATACCTGATGACTAAGTAGAAAGCTCTGACTGCTGGACTGAACAGCACCAGTAATAAGACGCCTCCACTATGACACTGTGTGGATGGTACCCGAAACCTGATCAAAACCCAGTCTTACTGCTAAGCTGTCTTAACTATTTGGTGTACTTCACTTAATCTAAACATCAGTGTCTTCTAGCTTTCATTTACTTTTAAAATCCTTATATATAGGCCCAGAGCTGTTGGAACTTTAAACATAAGAAGAGGTGAATGTTACTTAGTACACACTCCCTGCTTTATCCACACACATATTTTAACATTTTTGCTTCAACTACTTATTAATGTTTTCATAACCAAGTTGATTAAAAATGTGGCGGATAAGGGATTTTTAAGAAGATTTAAACAAAGCTCTTCTTTTTGCCATAAAATAGACCTAAATGGATTTGGGGCACATACAGGGAGCCAGTACTGATCAAAGGGATAAACACAGCTATGCATTGCTTAAAGACTCGGATACTTCTAAGAAATGTGTCATTAGGTGACTTCATAGTCATGCAAACATACAGAGTTCACTTACAAAAACCTAGATGGTACAGCCTACTACATACCTAAAGTATCTGGGGTAGCCTATTCTCCTAGGCTACATACCTAGGCAGCATGTTACGGTACTGAATACTGTAGGCAGTGGTAACACAGTGGTATTTGTGTATCTAAACATATCTAAGCCTAGAAGAGGTACAGTAAAAATACCACACTGTAATCTATGGTGCCACCATTGTACATGCAGTCTGTCATTGACCAGAATGTCATTATATGACACATAGTGACAGAAGCTGCTGAAGCAGCAGCTGTTGGCATCTTTATGGGTCAAGATTTGGGTTTCTCAGTCTTATACATCTCATCTAGGGGTAATTTGGTTGTAAGGAAATAAGAGCCCACTTTTGGAATTGATGTAAAGATGGTTTTTATCATAAAGTATCACTGACTTTATCATAAAGTCATATTTCACAGTTTCTTTCAGATTGGAATGTTTCTACTTGGCAAGTTTAATTTTAATAGACCTGTGTGCTTTAACCAGATCCTCATTCTGAATTGACATTTTCTGAAGAAGGCTTCATTGATACCACATGTTGGTTTGCATGTGAAACTGAAAAGGGATTTCAACCTAATTTTAGCATTTTCTTCCTCATCTGTAGTAGTACCTCTATTAAACCTCTTGCGCTAATGCCTGGAGTAGTCTTATACTGCAATAATGATATAAAATAGCTGTTTCCATTTATTTCTTATTACTATTTTATTTAGTCTTGTTATTTACTATTTAGTTCATTATTTTCCTCTTTTAATTTTTAATTTTTAATTATTATGGGTACATAATAGTTGTATATATTTGTAGGGTACAATGTGATGTTTCAATACTGGCATACAAGGTATATTAATCAAATGAGGGTAAGTGGGGTATCCATCACTTCAGGAATTTATTATTTATTTGTGTTATGAAAATTCCAATTTTATTCTTTTAGTTATTTTAAAGTATACCCTAAACTTAATATTGTAGATTGTAGACACTTTGTTGTCCTATCCAATATTGTTCAGTCTGTCTAACTATATTTTTGTACTGATTAAACATCTCCACTTTATGCCCCCTTCCCATTACTCCTCATAGCCTCTGGTAACGACGAATTATTTTCTTTTTAAGTGATAATTTTTTAGGCTTTGGATCCTGGATTTCTGATTTTTCCTTTTGTACTGGCATTTGCAGGTTTTTTCTAATTGTAAAGGTAGTGCATATTCATTGTAAATAATTTGGCAAATAGAGAAAAGTATAATGAAGAAATTAAAATTGCCTGATAATCACATTTTACTCATTTAAATAAAGTAGGGGTAATTATCTCAGTAAGAAAAGGGAATTAAGTGTCTTTATAGAAAAACAATAAATTCTTCGGAATTGAGAAAAAGTTTCCTAACATTCTATTCTAATGTCAGATAGAATAGAAATCATCAAGCACATTTGCTTTCACTTTGTGGTTTTCTCTTAAGAAAATTTACGTTTAACCAGTAATAATAGTCAGATATTGTTTTAGCATTTCTCAGCTAGTTTTAATGTATAGAGTACTTCATTCATTTTTTTCTCCCGTGATTACTATTTAAGAGGTTTTTGTTTCTTTTCTGTTTTCATTTCTCTTGTACACTGATAATTGCTGCATATTCTATTGTCCCAAGGATAATAGTAGACTTTATCCTACAAGCTTTCCAAGATAGGTAGTAATTATAATAATTTTAACAAGTAAAGGGTTTTCTTCTCTCCCTTGCAGCCACCCTTGAACGCTCAAATGTTGGCACAGCGTCAGCGGGAGTTGTATAGTCAGCAGCACCGACAGAGGCAGCTAATACAACAGCAAAGAGCCATGCTCATGAGGCAGCAAAGCTTTGGGAACAATCTTCCCCCCTCATCTGGACTGCCAGTTCAAATGGGGAACCCCCGTCTTCCTCAGGGTGCTCCACAGCAATTCCCCTATCCACCAAACTATGGTACAAATCCAGGAACCCCACCAGCTTCTACCAGCCCATTTTCACAGCTAGCAGGAAATCCTGAGGCATCTCTGGCCAACCGCAACAGCATGGTGAACAGAGGCATGACAGGAAACATGGGAGGACAGTTTGGCACTGGAATCAATCCTCAGATGCAACAGAACGTCTTCCAGTATCCGGGATCAGGTATGAGGGTCACAACTTTATATTGCTCTTATAAATAACATATACAGGCGTGGTCTGTCTACTTAGTCATTGGGTTCACTGACATTGATGCTGGGGAGGAAAGACACTGACATGGGAGTCAGGGCTTAGCTCTTGCCACTAAATGGTTGATGGTTTTAGGCTTACCTCCCTTTCACAGCTGAGATTATTAAAATTAGAAGATTCTTAAGGACCTATCTAACTCTAAAATTTTTAACATTTTGTATACAAAGTACATTCTCTTATTTTCTTACTTTCTCTTGTGGATCTCTGTGAGGATCTAATGAAAGTTCTTCCTAGACAATGGGGTTGAGTACGTTAATTCAGAATTTGCATATCGTATTTTCATTGTGTGGGAAGTTTTGGTTTTGATAGTTCACATGAGGACAATCAGTCTCTATACCGTATCTCAGACTTCTCACTGGTGCCACCACTCGTGGCTGCTGCAATTGCAGCTTCCTCTGGGTTATCAGTCACCTTTGTGGCTTCCAAATGTTTTTTCTTTTCAGTTTTTAATTTGCATTATCTACCTTCTATTCTCATTGTCCTAGGTGATATCTTTTTTTATTTCTTTTCAGTCATTTTAAGCTTCTAATAAGATAGTGGCAGTAATATACATTAGATTCATCCACATGTTTAAAATAAAATTTCTATGCAAAATTAATGACCAATTCTTAAAAAAAAATTGAAATAAATCCTTTGATTATATAAATGAAAAAGGTAAATTTTTAGGCTGCTTAAAAATGAATTTCAGTGAGATAGGTGCTAGTTGACTCAAATAAAATGTCAAAGTTACCTAAAGTTTTTTTTTTTTTTTGAGACAGAGTTTCACTATGTCGCCCTCAGTAGGGTGCTGTGGCGTCACAGCTCACAGCAACCTCTAACTCTTGGGCTTAAGTGATTCTCTTGCCT